TTTGGGAACAGGACAATGGTGAGAGATTCTTTTAGCAAATAGACCCACTGCAAACATAGAAGGTGAGGGTCAAGTGAAGATCTACTTACCTTGGAGACATTCCACCTCCCAGATGCCACCATCYCTGCCCCGCCTCCCCCAAGGCAGAGCTGAATGCAGCTGAATGTTTGATGAAACTTGGCAGAGGCTGAGGAGGAGGATGGAAAATTCTAGGGGAAACACACATGGGGAGAAGAGGCCATGGGACAGAGGAGAAGAGAAAAGTGCGTGTCGACGGGGCTGACAATTTCCTGCTAAGACACAGCCAGAAACCCTGCACATTCACTCAACACCCAGTGCTCTGCAGATTCTAAAGAAATTGGAAGATGCAACATGGTCTAGAAGGAATGGGCTGCTTTGTATGTTCTTGTGAATTCTGTGTCCGTTAGGGCAGCCCACGGTAAGCCCATGTACTCCTTAAACCCTGAGCCCCACCCTGCTTTTGTGACTTATCGTATCAAACACAGGACACACCAGAAAACCTACATTCTTCTGTTTTGTTCTGTTCTTGCAACCTCTGCTGAGGACCAGAAGCATCACCTGTCAATCAAACRGCTTGTTAAGCTCAGAACCACCAGTTGTTCTGGGTGAGGGGAGGATGCTCCTAACACACACTGGTGCCTCCTTTGGAACATGCCTTTCTCTTCTTCTCTCCTATTACCGCCTTACTTCATCCCCACATCCCCTCAGGTTGTAGGGACCTAAAAAAGCCTCCCTATTGACTTTCCAGTCTCAAATTTCTCCAACCACAGGCATACTGCCATTGATTTGAGTTCCTTGCTAAGAGGGCTACACTGACTCTCTGCTTCCTTTCCAGCCAAATCCAAAGCCCTCATCCAGACTTCTGTCTCCCCACCCATTCAGCCTTATCTCCCATAGCATTGCAAGGCTGCTGTCTCATTTCCAGCTCAGGTTTTGTGGAGTCCACCCTCTGTATTTTTCCCAGTCTCACCCCACCCGCCACTGACACCTCCCAAATCTCGTCCTACTCATCCCTAAGCTTTAGATTAACTTTTATCTTTTTTATATATTCATGCCTGATGTCTCCAGCCCATGGTAATCTCCCCAGGTCCCTATTTCTGGGTACAATATGAGTCACTAGTACCTTATTTCATTATTGATTAATCTCCAATTATTTTCCATGTTTTAGTCATCACTTCTCCCCTGGGCCCAGAGTTGGTGTTTAATAAATATTTGGTGAAATTGCTGATTGGGGGAAATGTGGGAAAAAAGGCCATCAAATTAACCTGAATTAGCCAAAACCTGCAAACACAACTGTGCATGTGTATAACTGTGTTTAAATGTGTGCATCCGTGTCCGTGTGCTTTAATTCTCAAAGCTCTCTTTCACACCCTGGAGAAACATTATTGAATGCCACTTCATTTCTCCAGTCACCTATGCCAATACTTGAGCAAGGGATGCTCGGCCCCGACCCTGGCCTTTCACGATTGGCATGTGGCCCTGTCAGTGTTTGCAGGGAGACCTAGCTTCTGACCCCAGAATAAAGAGGCAATGCTTTTCCATCTGGCACCAGATATCTTCTGAACTTTGAAGATGGTCTGTGTCTCACCATGACCTATAGTATACTGGTGGATTGGAGAGAAAGGGAAGGAAGAAGAAGGTTCTGATGAGCTGGTGATAGCAGGCTGTTCCTTGCCTGATTGAGCTTTTACAAAGTCCAGAACTCACTGATTCATGCACTTGAACAGTAGAATTCTATGAATGTAGGGTTTCGTATCCCCAGTGCCTAGTACCCAGTCAGCAGTTGATGAATATTTTAAGGAATGATTGTATGTGTATGTGTGCTGGAGAGACTTCAGAGAGGCAGAATTGAGCTCCCATGGAGATAAACTTTCTAACATGAGTTGATGCCCATGGTGTTGCTTATTGTCTCAGGCTGTGATTAACTCCTCTGCTCCAGGATTTCAAACAGGAGGAGGCTAATGACTAGTCAGGGATACTCTACCCAGAGAATCTAAGTAGTAAGTGGGATGTTAAACAATAGTAATAATATGTTATAGTTCTCATTATCAATACGAATGAGTTAGCATTTATCAAGTACTTATTATGTGCACCACTCACTAGCAAATCATATTTTACTTAACTTTTAATGACTCTTCAAGGCGTTTCCACCTCTGAGGGATGATGAACCTATAAGGTCCAGTCACCTAGCTTTATCAAGCTAGGCACTGTAGAAAGAGTAGCGATAGAGAAAAAGGGGACAGAAATCAAGCCAAAATTCCTGCCCTTAACGAACTCTGAACTCAAGAAGAGAAATAGAAGTAGACACAAACTAGATTTCAAGGCAGAAAAAGATGTAGAACTAAGGAGAGTCATAGACAAAGAATTTGGGTTAGAGCCCAGAGAAAGAACTGATTAGTTCTCTGGTGATGGGGAAATCCTGGCTTCCTGGAAGAAGAGGTGTTTCTTGGTGATTTTTGATTCTAACATTTCCAAGGGCAGAGATACAGGAAAGGGCAGTTGATAACCATAAATCAGGATAAGCAAAGGCCCAGAGCTCTGTAGCTGGTGTCTCATATACTGTGGCTGAGCGTCAGACGGGTAGAAGGAGAGACACTGGGGAGAGGGGCCGTTTTGTGCCAGAACCTGGGATGCCTTTTATGATTGGCTAAGGAGCTTGAATATTATTCTCTAGGTAATTTTTAAGGTAGAAGCAACATGTTTCGTTGAGGTAATTCTACCAGAATCAAAGTTGGATTAGAAAGTATCTAGTGGGTTTGGGCTGCCATAATACCATAAACCAGGAAGCTGAATAAACCACAGAAATAGTGGTTTATTAAGTTTCTCACAGTTCTGGAAGCTGAGAAGTCCAAGTTCAAGGCACTAGCAGATTCAATGCCTAATGAAGTCCCCACTTACATGGTAGAAGTGGCAAGGCAGCTCCCAGGGCCCCTTTTATAAAGGCACTAATCCCTTTTATGAGGGGCCCACCCTCGTGATTTAATCACCTCCCATAGGTCCCATTCCCAATATCGTCACCTTGGTGGTTATGTTTCAACACATGAATTTGAGGAGGACCCAAATGTTCCTCCATAGCAGAGAGGTAATCATAGCTATCACTGATTGAGTGCTTACCATGTGCCAGTGAAGGCCGTGAATAACTTGTATCCTGTCTCACTTCAGCCTACTAGTATATGAAATAAGTTCAGTAATGCCCCATTTGTCAGATGAGAACACTGAGGCAAAGAGAACTTAAGCCACTTATCCAGAGCTCTACATCCAACCCCGAAGACCCAGGAGTCCAATCTAGAATTTTTCTTCAGAGCCAGTTTTAACTCTCCTACTGCAGCACCACACCCAGTACCCAGTGAGAGCCTTGCCTATCACAGTGAAATACCATTGGAGAGATGGAAGTATAAAAGGCAGTATCTCCCCACTGCCTTGTATGTAAGAAATGGAGAAATATTCTCATCTCCTTGCATTCACATGAAGAAATACCAGAAAGATATACAAGAAGCTAGTATTAGTGTCAAGGTCAAGGACAAGGGCCAGATGTGGAATGGGGTGATACACCTCATGTATGCCTTTAATATGGTTCTTGTTGTTGACTCATGTGAATGTGTCATTTATCCAAAAAAACAGATGATATAAAATAAAAGGCATAATTTAAAAGTTAATTCAAAGGAACAAATAAAAGAGCATAGAGTTGATAGGATTTGGAAGACAATCAGGAGACAATGCAGACAAAAAAAATCAACAGGGTATCAGACTTTAGCACTGGGGGAGATGGGGACCCATTGGCTTTGCTGGGAGGACCTCAGAAGGAGAGTGGGTTGGAAGGTAGCTACAATACCTTCAAGCTTATTTATTTATAAAAGTGGACAATTGGATATTGGGGCTAAGGATGAATACCAGATGGGGTGTTGATTTCTGAGTTTCCCATGAAGTTGGTTACAAGCCTGTGAGTGGGGAACATGAAGAGGAGATAAGAAAGAGAAAGCACATGTATGATTGCATGAGTGGTGCAATCATACATGAGTGTATACATGTATCATTGCATGTGTACAACCAGAGAATTGAAATGTTGCGCTCCATTAATATACGATGAATCGAAATGCATTCTGTTGTCTTGTACAACTAAGTAGAACAAATAATAATAATAAAAGAAAAAAAGAAGGAGAAATCAAGAGAGCACAAGACAGAAGTTTAAGGAACCTAACTGAAGAGGCAGCTATAGGGAAGCTTACATAGAGACTGTGAAGTCCTGATCAAGGGGCAGGACGGAGAGATGAGGACAAGGGAAAAGGGGGAGCAGAGAACCCCCAGAGGAGAGGACTTGTCTCCTGGGTCCAGTAGGTCGGGACTGAGGACAGGATGGTAGGGTTGGGATCAGAATGTGCTGCTGGAAGAAACCACCCCATGTAGGAGCTTCCAGCGGGACACCCAAGGGCTCCCTTCCCCATCCTGTAGGAGGGTCGTCAGTCTCCACGTGTCAGCCAATGTGTAAGCTAGTGAAGGGGTGGAGAGGGTGTTCGGATAACACACTCCAGCAACTGAGTGGTTAAAGTGGGGAACTGAGGCACACAGACCTAGAAAGCATCTCTGACTTGCTGTTATCTTCCCATTCAGGCCAGCAAAAAGCTATAACTTGATGCTTTACTTTTTTTTTTTTTTAAGTCTTCCTTTCTCTCTTTCTATGACTCGCATCAATGCAAACACAATTACACACACACCAAACGCACGCACGCACACACGCACACACGCGCACACCTCGGGCATACCTCGGGCATAAAAGGGCTCATTCCAGCAAACCTTTTTCTGATACAGCTCACTGGGAGGGAGGGAAAGCAGAGCAGAGGAAAGAGAAGGGGAGATGCAAGCCACCCTAGCTACTTTTACTCCCCTTTAAGGCTGCCTGGTTACGGTCCTGGGAAAGAAAACCCCTGCATTCCTCCCCTTTAATTGGGTTTATTGTTAAAGCACTGGAGCAGCTAATCCTCACAGACCTGTAGGAGCAGGAGTGGGAGCGCCTAGAGCACCCGACCGTTCTTCTGTGTCCTGGGTAAGATGAACCTGCTTCTTTTCTTGCTTTGGGGGGTTTCCTCGCCCAGTGGGAGGCACGCAGTGCCTGGAGAGTGGGTTTGAAGAGCCACTTCTGTGAGCGACTTGGGCATTCATTTGAGCCCCAGTCCCAGTCTTCCCTGACTCTTGCGGTCTCAAGGGTAAGTTGTAGCTGCTGTGGAAAGCAAGTGTGAATGAGGGTCTCCAAGTGGGACTTCCCTGGGGAGCCATCTGACCATCACTCCTGGGCTGGCTCCATGGGAAGCATTTATACTTCTGGGCAGGGAAAGGGGAGCAAAATACCTGTCCATGCCTCTGACTCCGACCCGGGAGGGGCCCTGTCCATCTGCAGAGTGTCAGGACCTCCAGCCCCCTAGCACCCCCTCCCTCCAGCTCCCACTTCATCTCTTAACCTCTCTGACCCCAACTGTCATATGGGAATATGTCCGCTCCGCCCACCTCTCTGGGGTTTGGCGAGGGTAAGGAGAATCAGTGGGCATAAAAGGGATTTGTAAACAGTCCATGGCTCTGCAAACCCCGGGGAAGAGGATCAGGCTCAGGCCTCCCGGACCCTCCATGCACAGGCTTCAGGCTCCCGGTCCCCTGCTGCTGCCTTAAGATGCAGAACCTGGGCACGCTGTAGCTGTCAGTCACAAGATAGCTCCTTCACCTTCCCCAGGGGCATGTCCACCTCCCTGGAGCCTTTAAACTTCCCTAGTTTAGTTCTCCTGTAAAGCTGTTAAAAGGAGGTCTGGATTCACCACGGCCACCCCCATCCGCACCGTGGCCCCTTCTCTCCACGTAACTTTGACGCACAAACATTAACCCTGAGGTTTCCGGAGGTGGCTGCCAGGACTGGCGCTGGTCTGGCTGCGGTGTGCGCCTGGCCAGTCTCTTGCTCTGGAACCAGATACACTGATCATGAGGAAAATCTCTGGGAAGGGTCAAGAGAGTCAAGCAGGTTTCGGCTTGGGTAAGGAGATGATCTTTTCCAGATCAGAAGCCAGAGACAGACCCTGGCCTCTGTCTTTCCTACTGAGACCTGAGCTTAACCAGGGCCAAAGATGAGACTCACATCTGAAACAGGCCACAACACAAACTGCTTAGTAATACCTGATATGGGGACCATACTTCACAGTTTATGATATGCTTTTAATTTATCTTCTTAAGGACAATCCCTCAGAGGGGTCATGGGGTATGTATTGTTACCCTGTTGGTATAGATGAGGCCACTGAGGCTCAAAGGGGTTAAATGGTTTGCCTGGGGTTGCAAAGCTGCAGACTGGTGGTACTTATTTGATGCTGGTAGCACTACTTTGAACCCAGATCTTCTGGTAAATTCAGTGACCTTTCCATGTTGCTACAGATAGCTATGAGTGAGTGGGGAGGGGGATTCAAAAATACTCTTTAGAAAGATGGGGCAAAACTTTGGGGAAAGCCTGAGGTCAGAGTCAGAAAAGATTTAAGCTGCTGCTAGAAGAGGCTCCAGTAATAGACGCGGTTCCTCCAGCCTCAATCTGAGAAAGCTGAGCGCCTGGGAACTCAGCCTTCTCAGACCACCCAAGCCAGCCGTGTGTTGGGGAGAGGGGGGGTGGATCATTCAGGTGTTGGATGGTTGCCTGACAGCATCACAAAGAGGAAGGTGGAGATGAGTGACATTCCCACAGGAAAGAGGCAACAGGTTACAAGGTATAGTGACAAGAGAACGGGTGTAGGAGTTTGAGGGACTGGAACTCCCAGTCCGGCTCTGTCACTAACTGTCTGTTGGATTTGGGGCATTTCTTTCTGAATATTTCTATTCATTGATGGCTCGACTATGACAAGGTGTTATAGTAGCAGTGAGGCGTGAAACAAGATTGTGCATGGAAAGTGCCTAGCACAGTGCCCCACCCAGTGCTCCCTCCACGGCCATGATTACTACAAGGCCTGGGAGCGATACTGGTGGGAAGGGAAAAACACCCCCCTCTAAAAGGAGAATGCCTCCCTCGCTCCCTCTCCCCCATACACATGCACACCCGGCCAGAAATAAATTGCCACACGGAGTGCTTGCGAGTGACGGCGGCGCCCAGCCACAGACTGCCAGAGCCAGCAGAGTGAATGAGCTGCAGCRTGAATGAGAGGGGGAGCGGCTGAGTCTGCAAACAGGCTGCGTGCCTGGTGCTACAACCGCAGGCGCGCCGCCATGGTCAAAGGCAAGGGGGAGGGGGTGGAGAGGCTGCCAGCAAGAAAGGGAGCCAGTGGGGGTCAGGGAGCCGCACCGCCTGTGAATGAATGTCCCCCGATGGAAGGCTGATAGCCCAGAGCTTTGTCCTTCCTTCTGCAGTCCCCTCTCAGTACGGATCCTTGCTCACCCTTTCTGGGAGACACGGTGGAGAACCTGGCTGGGACATTTAGTAAGGTTGCGCCCCATGCCTGTACCAAGGAGGCACTTCTTGCATGAGAGTCAGGCTTACCAGCAGCACGTGGGACATACAGTGGGCATTACCCTTAACTCCTCAGAAAGATGCCTCAATGGAGATCAGCACATGGCCCTCGGAGAAACCCAACCTAGGCATGGTTTCCTCCCATTTGTGGAGCARATGAAGTAGTTGGCTTGCATTCGGGCCATGATGTAGGAAAATCCAACGTGAGACTCTCAATAAGATGAGATGCTCACATTATAAGAGGCAAGTGGCATGCTCACTCCTATTTAAATTGTTTGTTTTCCTGACTCTTTTCCCAGTGGTTGGTGTTTAATTTATATTCCTATAATGYGGGCTCGCGGCGTGGCACTTGGAGGTTACAAAATGTTTTCATGCCCATTGATCATTAGACCTCAAAAGGAATGCAGAGAAATAGAGCAGGAATCATCATCATTCCCATCAGCAGAGGCCCAATGTGATTAGGAGCATGTTAAGAATAAGTAGGAAAAATTTTGCTCTCTCCATAGACTCCTATGTATTGACCTCTCAATCACCAACTGAAACTCTTGAGAATGGGCTTCATTCCCTCTATGAGAAGCACATTATAAATCTTAAGCAATGCATGAATTCTGGCTTATTACTGCAGAGGGAACGATTTGGTTTCAGTTGCACCTAAAATAAACTGCCGTCAGCAACTGAAAGAGTTTCTTGCTCAATTATTCTGTGAGCAGAAACTGGCATGGGGCTCTGGTCTTGGAATGCAGGGTTAGCACGAGGGCTGGGAGGGTGAAGGGARTGGTCTGTGGAGTTCCTCTCCAGGCAGAAGTCTCTGCTGGGAGACTTCCTCAGGAACCTCTGGGGAACAGAGCCTGAGCTCTGGATAGCTGACATGGCCCTGGGTTGCAACCCATGAGCTGTAAACAAGTTCTGAAGGCTGGATGGGCCCAGCCACGTGTGTGTGGCACTGAAGAGGGCACTGACTGATGGCAGTGGGCTGCTAGAAATTTCATATATTCCTCCAAAAGATGAACAACCACAAAGCATTAGTGATGGTCTCATTTGCATTTTCCAGAGTAGGCTCTGAGCAATCCCAGCTCCCCTTTCTGAAAACAGGTGTTTAAAAAGGAAAGAGTTTTACCATCACTAAATTTAGGAAATTCCACGTTAAGCCACCTTAAGTAGGTGTCTTTAGTAGAACTCAGAACTTTTTTTATATTTGGTTTTTTTTGTTTGTTTGTTTGTTTTTTAGTTTTTAGGTGGACACAATATCTTTATTTTATTTTTAGTGGCGCTGAGAATCAAACCCAGTGCCGCACGCAGGCCAGGCGAGTGTGCTACAACTTGAGCCACATMCCCAGGCCTCAGAACTTTTAATAAGTAATGTGGATCATGAATCTCTAAGAAGGGAGACCATAGGACAGTGAATCTGCCTTTCTCATAGATAGCCTTCCAGGACTAATATTCTAAAAATCAAACTTCATGGAACCCTAATTTAGTTCACTCTCCTTTTTTTGACTAAAGAAAAAAATAAACTCAGAGATGTATAATGATCCGCTTGGGGCTGCACAGTTGCTCGATGCTGAATCAAGACTGTGCCAAAGCTTGGCTTTTTTCTAGTGTGCCTCTTAACTCAAAGAATGCTACAAAGTCTAATGTGGACCAGAGTTCAGGAAATCATGGATCCAAGGCAAGAAAAATTCCCAACGTTAGCCTTTTACCCCTTTATAATCTGGTGTAGTCTATATTTTTATGACTTTGTGTGCCCCAGTCAGGAGGTAGAGAGCACTTTCTTATTAAAGATGATCCTACTGATAACCTTCCTCCCAAAGCCCACAGACCCTATGGAGTCTTGCTCCCTAGAAATGAAAAACCCAGAAAGCAAAGAGTATAAAGCAGTCTTGGGGTGGGYAGATTCTTCTGAAATGAGTATAAGCCCGGCAAGCTCTGAAAGCCAATGAGACTTGCTCACTCTGCCCCAGAGCGATTCACCCCTCTTTGTTTAGAAGTCCTAAGCAAGAGCACTGGAAAAAAGCACGGCAGCTCTCCCCCTGGGTGGAACTGAGCCATGATCTGTGGGTTTAGGACTGCTGAGGTGCTGCTCCAACTTTCTCTCTGTGCCTATGCCCATCTCTTTGGCTTGTCCATGCCCAGTCTAGGAGCACTATGATTGTTCTTTCGTTGCATATACATTGCAATGGATTGGAATGAATGCCTTTGGATTACAATGTGATGCCCCTGGGACTCTGGGATATCATAACAAAAGGTTAACAGCTATTTCTTTAAGACACATCTCAGAGCAGAGTCCTAAATGCTGGTGATCCAAGTAGGAAATTTAGTAGGGAGGCTACAGAAGTAAGAGTCCAGAGAGAGGGTCCAGGCAGCATGGGGTCATGACACTTTTGGGTTATGTGGTGGCAATCAGGAGACCACTGCAGACACATCTCATCTACCTGACAGTTCTATCTGGGACCATTGATGCTCCCGGGACCAAATGGAGCCAGGGAAGGAGAGGAGAGTGAAGGCCACCTGCCTCCTGGGCTCAGGGCCCAAGCATCTCTCACCAGCTCTTCATCACCAGCTGCCACCAAGGATCAGACGGCCTGCCCCAGAAGCAGAGTAAGGGCTGCACTCAGAGGCGGTATCCACCCTAAGCCTGCCCTGCCAGTCCTTCAGGAAGAACATTCTTTCTGTAGTCTCCTCCCCCAGCTGCAAAATGCTCCCCAAGAGGCCAGGAAGACCAGGTCTTTGATTGAGCACTAACGAGGAGCGAGGCACTGTGCTAAGCCAGAGGAAGACAAGAAAACAGACCGTCTTCATCCGTGTGGAGTTATTTTCTAGTGAGGATGCTGACCTCAAACAGGGGGATTTCAGATGGTCATGTGTATTACAGAAGAAAGGATCAGCTTGTCTGGGAGGGCCCGGGTAGAACAGTCAGCAGGGGCCTCTTCAAGTGTCTCAGCAAAGTTCTGCCGACCAAAAAGTGGACACCCCAGGCCTTATGTACTCCGTCTGTGAAGTGATGATGATGGCAAAAAGCCAAGACAATTATGCCTTCTATGACTCTTCTGCCCTCTCCTGCTGCTGGGTAACAGGCAAAGTCTCACAGTAGGGGTGCGGGGAGAGAGAGAAAGGGAGGGTTTGCCACTCTCTGTACCAGAATACAGATCTTCTTGCTAGTTTCCTCTCTAGAGCAATATAAAGAATGTATCTGCAGCCTCCACCCCCACTGCCCTTCCATGTCATCTTAAGCCTAAAACCCTTCCCTGACCAACTCTGCAGGGCCATCTTCCTCATTCACTCATTCAGGCACAGTAATAGACACTGGGATTCAGAATTGAGATGCACATGGTCCCTGTCTTTTAAGCAGACTGTCTGTGGTTTCCTTGTTTATTTATGCCCCTGTATACTTAGGTTTGGTCTTTGCAACGTGATTGTAAGTACTTTTAAAGTCAGGCTCATAGCACCAGAATGTCTGCATTTAGTCCAGGTGTACACACTAGGTATTCCATGAATGCTTGCTGAACCAAGGAGTATGACTCCTACAGCTCAAAGATCGTCCTATGAATTAGATCATTTTCTTTGTCCAGAGCCATTTCTTCAGAGCCTTCAGGAGGGTCTTCCTCTGATGAGGACTGAGAGCCTGAACCAGCCAGGAACACCAAGTCCACGGTATCTCCTGGGCCGTGGATGTGAAACCAGCCCTAAGCCTCAGAGAAGTTTGCAGCGGCTGCCCCTGAGCTCTGAAACCCAGTGGAAGTTGTTACCGGAAATAGAGTGAGAGGCGGGGAGTGCTTTGGAAGCAAATTAGAGCAATATTGGAGCTTCATGCTTCTTAGAATTTTTTTTTTTCTTTTCCTCTGAAAGGGCCTAGATTACAGAAGTCAAGAGATGGGGGGGAGGGCTTTAGCAGAAAGAAGCAGGGTGCAGCCAGGGAACGTGCGCCACCCCTTTCCACCATTAGACCTGTACCAGGCGGGGGTCCTGGAGGAGGTTTCTCTGAGGTTATGGAGGGGTGGGAACAAAGAGCCACTGGGAGACGGAGGGGGAGGTTAGATCTGGGTCCCTGTGTTTTCCACATTGCTCCGATGATGAAACTAAATTGTTAGGATTCAGTGTATGGGAGGAGGGGTGGGCGGGAAAGATGTTTTCCATGGCCTCGGCTAAGAATACTATGTTTTTAAAGCTATTTCAGAGCCATGGGAAAGAAGGAACAGTGAGTACAGATCTGCTAATGAGGTGGTGGAGCCTCCTGAAGAGCAGGCAGTCATTACACCGGGCTCCAGAAGGGGGCGTGATGGGCACAGCCAGGGACCCAGGAGCTAGACCAGGCTCTTGGTGGCCCCTCACCTAGGAAAGGAGTAGCCCCAGTTCTGTAGCTCTGTGCAGAAGGAAAGACAGAGGTTTGCCCCTTTAAACATCCCATCCAATACTTCACCCAAATCCCCTGCATTCTTCAGGACTTCCCAGCTGCAGTGTGTCTGCCCAAGAAGAAGCTACCCCTGGAGGCTGGGTCAGCTAAGCAAGATCCTAATACCTGAAAAGAGTGGTATGCTAAAGCAGACAAGTTCAAACTGAAACCTTCTTATTCCCCCATTTTTACTGCCTGGTGGGGTGGGAAGTCGTGCATTCCAAATGCCAAGCAGCCTGATAAGTGGAAGCAGCTGGATTTGGAGCTCAGCAGCTGCAGAATATCTGGCTAAGATATCCCCCTATCCTGAACAGTTCTTTCTGCTCAGAGCAATCTCTGCCTGTCAGACTCCAGGAGGTCAAGAACTAATGGAGGGAGGAGTCAAAATCAGGTTGGCCTCCAAACCTGTGCTCTTCACCTGATGCTCAGCTGTGACAGCACAAACTCTCTTTTTATTCTGAGGTTATCAGAAGACCTCGGAGATTCTGCATTTTTAAAAGTGGGGATGGAAGGCAATGTGTGAGAAGGGCAGTCATTAAACATATTTTCCTACTTCCCTGTCAAGTTCAAGGAGTTTGGGTGGAGAGGGCTTTGATAGAAATATGTCACTCATCATCCCCCAGATATTCAGTAATCCTGAATCCAGGTTTCCCCGGCACCTTGGGAACACATATGCATGAGTTTGCTTGCTCATTGCCTGTCTCCTTTGACTGGCAGATCCAGAAGGGCAGGGCCATCATCTAAGTTGTCCATTGTTACGTATCCAGCAGTGGGTACATGGTAGGTGCTAAATAACTATGTGTGGTCTGCTGAATGAATATGTAATCCAGAACTCTGGCAGAGTTAGGATACAACTCAATACAGATTTTAATGAATAACTGTTTACCCAGCACTGTGCTGGATGTTGTAGGAGCTGCAGAGAAAATATAATCTCGTTTATTTAAGCTATAACAGGTAGAAGAGAGGAGGAGGAGGAAGAGTTGGGGGGCGGCGGCGGCAGAGCTGTGAAGTTAGAAAGGAGTCAGGCTGGCTCTGTAGTCTGAGTAAACATCTTGGTGATCATTTTGGTAACACAGGAAACGCCTCACTCATCTCAGATCCCTGGAGGTGGGTTTCCCCGTGTTATTCTAGATCCGTGCACACTGTTGCCTCAATTAACGCACAGGTTACAAAGTAGGGTTCCACTACAGGACTCTAGACTCCTCCATCATGTAGCAAGCATGATGCTCATGTAGCAGGTGTTCAATAAATTCGTTGTAGCGGTTTTTAAAAACCAATGGGGAGAATACTCTTATTTTTGTCAATGATCCATGTTTTGCTCTCAACCCTTCCTTCTGGCCATTACATAAAGGATGTATTTTAGGTTCTTTTGCAACCTGTTCCCATCTTATTTGAGAAACGAGTTGATCAGAATATTTTCCCCTCTCCCTCCCTCCAACAAAGCATCCCCAGAAGCTTCAACTCTGGAGGCGATGGGTCGAAAGGAAGAAGATGACTGCAGTTCCTGGAAGAAACAGACCACCAACATCCGGAAAACCTTCATCTTCATGGAAGTGCTCGGGTCGTAAGTCCTGGGGAGTGGGAGCCCCGGGAGGGCTTGGGGAGGTGCTGGGGGGAGTTGTTCTGGGAGCAGCAATGGGTGAACTGGACTGAGGCTTCTGTGACTCTAAGGGGCCTAGGGGGAGTTTTGTGGCCTGGGGGTGGGCGAGTGGCATGAGGGAAAGGTTTGTTTAAGACCTGGGATGACTTAGTGCCCTGGAGTCCTCAGGGATCACCAGCCCCTTTCCCTCAGGTTCTGCATCCCTCTGAGCTACACCCAGAGACCTCCCTCTCTCCTTGGCAAAAGAGGAATTGGGGAGCACTTCTGGAGATTCAGTGATCCTAGAACTTTCCGGGGACTCCTCATTTCCCCCATCAGTGATCAAGCCAATCTCACTGCACGATTTGGAGCTTCTGAGACTAGAGRGGTGTGGGCCACACACACCGGAAGGGGCCCCCACCTCCTCTCTTCTCTGTGTTTCAGTGCTTGGGCTTTGCCACTGTCCAAACTCCTACCAGCCCGCAGGCGCCTGTGCTTGCCCCTTGACGAGGATCACAGAGCTGGCAGTCGCCAGACGGCTTCTCTGGAGCTGACTCTCCACTTAGTCGTGCCTCTCCCCCAGGAGGCTGCAGTCTCTGACGCAGGCAGGCAGCAGCTCGGGGCCATGGGCCCCCACCTCTTCAGAGGCCCAGCTGGTCAGCTAATTAGCCGGGGCTAATTGGGCCTGGGCAGGGAGGAGTGTTCATGGGGCAAGCTCTCCCTTTAGCCAGTCCTGGCCCAGTGGGCTGCACTCTGCCCTGGCTAGGAGACAGCAGATGAGGACGGATGCCCTCGCTCTCGCTGCAGAGAGGAGCCAGGCATAGCCAAGAAGAGCCCTCTGGGTCTTCCTGGCACAGATTGCCAGGTTCTGCCACACTGCTGAGGATCTTCTCAGCAGTGGTGCTGGTCATCAGAGTGCCGGCCTTCCATCAGGGGCCCTTGCCAAGACACAGTTAGCTAGAGAGAGGGGGTTTTGGCGGAGAGAGGGATAAGGCTCATGAGTGAATCAGAAATGATTTGTTAAGCATCCCCAGATGGAGGGAAACKGGGAGAAGGAAGGCCAGGTTGAGGAGAGTTTATCCACGTCTGCTATAAACTTGTGCTGTGGGACTGTCAGTAGACAGAYGCGGCCCCCGTAGGAGCTCAACAGGTCTACTGTAGAAACAGCTAAACCTCAAGGGACACTGGGGTCATCTGAGAGCTTATCACTCCAGCTTTTAACTGTGAATATGTTTAAACAGAAAGAAAAGGTGAAGTGAACATCAATATACCCACCACCTAAATCCAACAGTTGTTGACATTTCCTTATACAAGTGGATCCCCTGTATTCTCCAGTTCCGTGTGTGCAGATCCAAGCAACAACGGATCAAAAAAAAAAAAAAAAATTTTCAGAAAATAACTCTCATCTATACCGAAAAAATCTGTTCAGATTTTTTCCCCATTATTATTCCATAAACAATATATGATAACAATAATTTACGTAGAATTTACATTGCATTAGATATTATAAGTAATCTGGAGATTATTTAAAGTCTACAGGAGGGTATGCATAAGCTTCAGGCAAAAACTGCAACATTGTATAGACGGGAYTTGACCATTCACAGATTTTGGTATCCTAAAGGGTCCTGGAGCCAGTGCCCCATGGATGCTCAGGGATGCATTTGTTTTATACATACACATATTTCTCTGAACTATTTATAAACAAGTTACAAATACCATGACATGTCACCTCTTCTGTGTCTTCTCTGTCTACATCCCCTGCCTGTTTTACCTTCTGACACAGGCAATCTTGACTGCTCAAAACTAGTTCTCTGCTCCCCACCCTGGCAGTGGCAGGGTAAAGCCCTCTAGTCCTCCTCCTGTGCCTCACCCCACCTCAATGGAGCCACCTGCAGGACTAAAGCAGCCTGAGACAGAACAACAGTAACACCCTCTCAAATTGCCATAATACCACAAAACTCCAGGTKATCCCACATGCAGATGGTGCCATGTGGATGGTACCCTCGGGTTTGGGCATACTGAAGGCCCTTATTTAATGCCGTTCCCCAGCAAGCCCCAGCTCTGAAATCAGGGGACCATCCATGTGTGGTTCCAGAGGTTCGGGTTGATAGATAGGACTCTGAAGGTGGATTCTAGTATGTCACAGCGGGAAGAAATCTTTAAGGCCGAGTAGCTCAATTGTCACTTTATAGATTAGGAAAATGGAGTCCAGGATGAGAACACACAACTAATCCTTTCCTGACCCCAACTTGCCCTCCATGCACTAAACCATCCATTCCTTCAGCAAGTATTTATTGAGCATTTTCTATACACATCCAACCATGGGGCCTGGTGCCATCCTCATTCACCTTCCGTTATACCCTGCCTCAGACTTCACAGATGGTGCCATTCCTCACCTCCATGGTCCCTCCACCCTTCAGCCAATGCTAGAAGGGAATCAGGCAAGCTACACCTCCAGCCCCTCCACACTTTCTCTCATGCTTCCTCTCCGCTCCCACCTGAAACACTTCCAACTCTTCCCCACTCCCCCACTAGGTTCATTTATCCCTTAAAACTGAGCTCAGATTATTCTTAAATCGGAGGTGATAAATATATCACCTCCAATTATTAGACACATGTTCAAGGAAGGAAATTAATGGATGAGTAAAATTTTATAAGGGCTCCTTGGCTATCCCAATGGGTCATTTTGAACAAATTAAGACAAAGGTGCCCCTTCCCCAGCACTCCTTTTGTCTTCTGGGAGGAAAATATTGTAATAATTATCCTGTGAGCATATATAYGGGCCACAAGGTGAATAGCACCTGTTGAAATTGTGCACAACCTGCCCAACCRCTGCCCACAGGATACCACGTTAAGTACAGGTTTTCTGTGGTCTCATAATATGTCATCCTTATGTGCATGTGTCTCTCTCTCATACTAGATCCTCGCTCACAGAGCTTCCATCAGTTAGAGGAGGATTCACTGAACGCCTGAAAGCCTTTTTTCAAACTGAATGTGAATTGCTTACTTGTCTGTGCTCCTTGCTGGTCTACAGACCCCATAAGAATGGGAATCTCCGTTTTTTATCTCCAATGTTTAAGACTCAGTAGGTGCTCAATAAATCTCGGCTGAAGGGATAAGCAAATGAATGAATGCACAAGCAAGCCCTGAAGCCCAAATGAGCTCTGTGCAGCAAAGGAGCAGGAACCAGACACAGGAAGTGCCACGTATTTTTCCAATGCAGGTTTTCAAAGTCCTTGCAAAAGCTTGACTGTGGCTGGGCCTTCATTCCAGGATTCCCAGATGGCAGGGGAGACGGTGGCTCAGCTCTTCCCTCATTTACATTCCATTCCTCTTGCATAGTTAGGTATTCTCCATGATTTTATTCAAATTAAGAATAATTATAGTGTCCAACACATATGGAGTTTGGGTTTGGGTTTTGGGTACTGGGGATTACACTCAGGAGCACTGTGCCACTGAGTTACACCACCCACCCCCAGCTCTTTTTATTTTTTGAGATAGAGTCTCACATCATTGCCCAGTTTGTCCCTAAACTTGAGATCCTCCTGACTCAGCCTCTCAAGTCACTGGGGTTACAGGCTGCACCACCATGCCTGGCTAATACATATGGCTTTAATAGATGTCAGAAATGCTGCTAACCACCTTACATATTTAATTTATTTAATCTTCTATACAACCAACCTTACAGATCAGGGTCTAACAATGTTTCCACTTTTCAGATGAGGAAACTAAATATAGAAATTAAGTATCAACCTGCCCCCAAACCTGAGATTCTAACATGGACAATCAGGCTCCAGTATCCACCCTCAGCTTAGCTACTGTTCTTCTTCATGGTGCTGGGGATCGAACCTAGGGCCTCCTGTGTGCTAAGCAAGCACCATACCACGGAGCCACATCCCTGGCCCTTTACCTGCCGGGTCTCTAGAAGATCCCCTGCAAATGAAGAAGCCCGCAAGTTGGAATTCTACCCTGTTTTCCCTTTGGGTTCCATCTGCTGTTTTCAGGGTCTGCCCCAGAAGCTGCAGGGTTGTGTCTTTAGTCTTTGCAGAACCCACTGAATGAATGAGAAGGTGCTCAGCCGTCTGATTCTCAGAGATTATCACCATCTAAGATGGATACATTGGTCTTCCCCACCCCACTGTGTCTGAGTCTTTCCTCTATTGCTGCCACCACTGCCACTCCAACGGGCCACACTGCACCTTCTTGCAAGTGAATGGCCCCGGCAGTGGCCTCTCTTTCATGGACTTGCTTAGTGGAGAAATCGCCACAGCTGAGGGAGAGTCTCTGGAAGTCATCCCCCAGTTATGGAAACAGGAAAAGCCCCTGCCTACGCCCGGAATGGGGTCTTTTCCTTCCCACATGACCCACGAAGGAAAAGGTAGCCTGGCATGTCAGGTAGTCCTGCCATCCATGCAGCTGGCCCAGGCCCACCGTACCATCACATACCCTCCAGAATGTTCTCTAGACATTCAGAACTAAGTTTTATCTCTTGGCCTCTTCCCCTCTCAGAGGAGCATTTTCGGAAGTTTTCCTGGTGAAGCAACGGGTGACTGGGAAGCTCTTTGCCCTGAAGTGCATCAAGAAGTCACCTGCCTTCCGGGACAGCAGCTTGGAGAATGAGATTGCTGTGTTGAAAAAGTGAGTGGCTCTTATGGTTGGTTGGGTGGTGCAACTGTGGGATCACAATGTGCCCTTCATTCATTGCTTTGAGGAAAAACTGGGCTATGTTGCCACACTCAAAGACACTGCTCCCTTTGAGACCATGGGTCAGTTTGGTCAATCAGATAAATTTAGTCAGACAGCTGCCCTGGCTGATTTTTTTTTTTTTTCCCAGAAAATTGACTAGCAAACCCACTAGTGGCAGAGTTGGTATTTGCATGTAGGCCAGAGAGTAATTAGCCCAAAGGAACAAAAGTCAATTGATAGCCAGCACCAAGAAGAATCAATAATTAAGGAGACAGCATGAGACTCGGAAATTAGCTTCAGTTTGATCAAAAACAAATGCAGGTTCAGCACCCCAACTGTCATGTAACCATTGGTGACACTAACAAATCATCAAATGTTTACAATAAAAAAAAAAAAAGTTTGCAATAAGATTTTTACCACAAACCCTTGTGAAACCCCTACTATGTGTCAAAAGTATGTTAGGCACATGGGATTGGGACAAAAAGACAGACAAAATTCCTTAATCTCAGAAAGTCACATTTTCCAAGTGGAGACAGAGKTGCCCATAACAAACTCTAACCCCATCCAAAGGGAGGCACACTAACAGAAGGTGGGGCGTGGAGGACATAGGATTTGTTTTACCTACCTGGCTTTCACGAATTATTAGGTACATTTTCAAAGAAGGAAATTGATGGATGAGTAAAATTTTATAAGGGCAAGAGGGGAGGTCCAGAAAAGAAGTCCAGGCTGAGAGTAACACAAACATGAGCGTAGAATCTTAGAGTTCAAGGGCTACTAGGGAAAACTGAGCATTAGAAGTCCCTAAATTTGAAATGAGTAACATCAAGGGAAAGGAGATGAAACTAAGATATTAAATGGGGCCTAATTGCAAAGGATTTTCTTTTGATGCCATGATAAAGAACATCAGCTGTATTCTGTTGGCAGAGAGAAGTCCCAAAAGGATTTTAAAGAGTCATATGATCAGAGGAGTATTTGGGAGCCATCCCTCAGAAGCATGGTGGAGGATGAGTTGGAGGAGACCAGCCAGAGGGTGGGAGACCAATGACAGGACTTTCACAACAGTCTAGGCATAGAGTGAGGAAAAGCAAAGGTAGTGGCAGGACCTCGTGGTAACAAGAAAACTGGAGGCAAGAGGCAGTTCAGAAAGAGAAATGATTGGGTTTGCAGTTGACCAGTGAGAAAAGCATGAATGATGATCTGAGGTTGGACAAATGTCACTAAGTAGAGAGAAACATCAGTGCAACCAGGTCTGTGTTTTTAACACTAGCTTAAATCAAAGGGATATGATTGGTTATGTATTTGCTCTTCTCCAGGCACTATACTTAGCATTTTTGATGCATTATCTCTTTTAGTCCCATTATTATCCTATGAGAGAAATATATTTGTCAGACAAGAAAAATGAGGCTTAGAAGATTTGAGAAAGCTAGTTAATGTTACCTAATTAGTAAGCGCCTCCTCCTGGGCAGGCCCAGAATTGCCGCCTGGAGAGCCAAGCCCCTCAGCTAACATGATTAATCCACTTGACTCAGTCTCTGAGTAATCACAGACAAAGGTCACCCAGGGCAGGGTTTCCCAGAACGACTGACACTTCAGATCATTCTGAGCTATGTTGGGGACTGTCCCAAGCATGTCGGATGTCCAGCAGCATTTCTGCCTTCACCTTCTAGGTGCCAGTAGCACATCCCACGCTGATTATCAAAAATGTCTTTATTGTCAAATGTCCCCTGAGGGGTAAAATATCCCATGGTTGAGAATTACTGATCTAAGACATCACACAGAAAATAAGTATCTTCCTTGTTTTTCACAACATCCTGGAATAATAAATTTTCAACAACTTCCCATGGTTACCCRAGAGGGAGTTCAGCTCACCTACACCTCTCCTGCTGTTATACTTTCTCCATGCAGTGTTTCTGAAAGAGAGATGGATATCCATTTTGTAGAATAACCTGGCATTAGGAACCCTTTAGTCTTCCTCAATTCTTGGGTACCCCTTAGTCTTCCATTGTTGTTCTCCTCCTCCTCCTCTTCCTCCTCCTCCTCTTCCTCCTCCTCCTCTTCTTC